TCAGATCTTTTTGCCTGGTGCAGAACCTTCTGTCAAAGATGCTTTGGCTATTTTTCTCTCAATACAAAAAAGTTTGTAAACAAAACCCCAAAGAATAGGGAGAAAGACCAATACATTATATTTACACAAACTAGGCCACCTAGCAATCACCAAATTAGTGAAGTCCTACAAAGCCCAGACAAATACAATAACTAGAGGGGGCAGTATTTAGGGGAGACAAGAACCCGGGATCAGACACACACCACCCAATGTGTTCTATTGCATTTGTCCCGTTTCAACACAGTGAGGTAGGTTTGCGGTGATCTCACAGCATGTAAACGAAACCCCGTTTTCTCTTTTAGCTACCATGACATTACTAATTACTACTGCAGTAGGGCAGGACACGGGCCCCAGGCACCACAAAGCCCTGCTCGTGTGTCTTCCTGGAACCCAAGAATTTTGACAGGTTAAGGATGTTAGACCTTACTTCATGCAGCCATCCCTTGACAGCACAGGGTTAAGTACAGGGGTACTGGTCTTAAAACTTATCCTTACCAACTCCGGTTTTATGAACACACACACCCTGTTGTGCATGGTAGGCCTTGTCTAATCTGGTGAAGAATGGATCTGGGATGTAAAGCACGTCCTGTGCCCCTAGGATTAGACAACCCTCACCTAATCTTGGCTTCCTCTCTGGGCCTTTCACCTGGCCCAGCCTCTGTACCACCATTTCCTGTTTAGACTAATTTCCAATCTTCCAGTAGGAGGCAATCAAGTCATGGGGCAACCCAGTTAAAACCTAGTCTCCCATAAAACATTTTCAAGGCAGAGGGGGTTTCAAGAGGACACTATGGCAGAAAAGCCAGCTCTCATTGGCAAAAATGAGGTAGTTCAATAGGCTGTGCACTCCAAATAGTTGCTCTCCACGGTGGCAAAAACAACAAAAAGTTTTCCTGCTGTGCAGACCTGGAGCTGCTGCCGACTTATCCCTGAGATTGCTCATGTACCTGAGAACACAGTGCAGGAAATGAGGGCCTTAGATTAAAATATACAAAAATACAAAACCAGAACATTTATATTAAGGAAAAAAAAAGTTAAAATGCACAAGATACGTCATTCGCACACAGCTAGTGCAGTTGGCATCTTGGAGAAAGTGGGACCCAAGGTGCAGTATCCAAGGGAGCAAATAAATAAAATCACATTGACCCAGAATGGGGCAGGGTGAGTGTAGGAGCAGCAGGTCTGCAGCTGTTCCCCTAAACACCCTTTTTGCCATCATCACTACCCATTGCTTGGGACAGTTGCCAGCACCCTATCCCAAAAGTGGGTATGAGGATATAAGATGTGGGAAAAAAAAAACTGCCTTATTCCTGAGAGATTCCCTTCCATAGAATGTAGTGGCTTGGCTCCATGAATCTGGTCTTATACTTAATCATTTCACTCTGGCATGGGAATTATTATTATACATCCTTCTTTAAAAGGAAAACAGCTTCCCTATCCAGGCCACTTTCAAAAGCTGGAAATTCTGGGATGGAGCCTCAGATAAAGCGTGCAGGTTGTAGGGTGATTCCCTCCTCCTGGTCGCCCCCAGAACCCTCACTTGCATTTGGACAGAGCATGGATGGAGTTCCTTTGACTCACCCTTTCCCCCAACCTAGAGGGAAGAAAGGGTGATGGTGTGAACCCCAGCCTGAGATATATGGCAGTGCCAACCAGCCCCAATGCACCCTATTCCCACTTTCTCCACTCTGCCTGCTCCTCGAAACTTCCTGATAGCAAAAGAACAGCCCCCACCCATTGGGGCTCAATTCTGGGCCTCTGGGAGCAGGGCAGGGCTGTGGATTTCTTCTTCTTCCTCCCGAAAGTATGTTGGCTTTCCCTGTGCACTAGGGGCCTGCTGGGCCTTCAGTGGACATGAGGCTACCATATGGCTGATGCTCTGGCAGAAGTGACACTTCTTGGGCTGGGGTGGCAGCTTGCATTCCTTGGCATGATGGTCTAGACCTCCACAGTTGTAGCACCTAGTACAAAGCAAGATGGTAAGTGAGAGAAAGGAGCAAGAAGAGGCCAGATGCCTCCATGAATGAGGACACCTGGGCTCTGGTACAGGTTTGTCACTTACTTCCCTTCCCAGCGACCAAACTTCCCACTTACAAAAGGAGGACTATTACTAAATGAGCTTTAAGTGCTTTCCACATCTAATTGTCTAGGTGAGCTCTTCAGATTCATGTCAACTTGAAAATACCAAGATACCAGAAATTAGAAGTTACTGACCCGAACTGGGAACTGAAACTTGGAGGATAGGAGAGATTCTTCCATGCCCTTAATATAGGAGAAATTAAAGAAGCCAAATTATAGTATCTGTTCAGAGCTAAGGTGCTTTAAGGCCAAGCAAGATTAAGGAAACAGCTGTTTGTAGACCTTATAAAAAAGCAACAGAAGCTGGGCGCGGTGGCTCACGCCTGTAATCCCAGCACTGTGGGAGGCCGAGGCGGGTGGATCACGAGGTCAAGAGATCGAGACCATCCTGGTCAACATGATGAAACCCCGTCTCTACTAAAAATACAAAAAAATTAGCTGGGCATGGTGGCGTGTGCCTGTAATCCCAGCTACTCAGGAGGCTAAGGCAGGAGAATTGCCTGAACCCAGGAGGCGGAGGTTGCGGTGA